CCCTCCTCTCGCCTAACTGTTCAGTGAACCCAGCCCAGGCTCACTGCTGTCGGTGATCTCGCTGCTTCTATCCTAAGCCCTTCTTTGTTTCCACTGTCCCAAACGTTGATAAACACTCTCTCAACATCACCTGGACTGACTGTATATGGGCTTCTTTCCTGCCTGAAGTCAAGAACCCACACATTCCTGCCCTGCGGGGGTGGTTCAATGGTTGCGTGTCCACCTGTGAACCAGGAGGTCGCTGTTGGATTACCTGTCAGGGCACATGCCCAGGTTTCTGGCTCCATCCCCAGCAGGGGGGGTGCAGAGGGCAGGCCATCAATGCTCTCTCATCATGGATGTTTCTATCTCTCTCCCTCTCCCTTACTCTCTGAAATCAGTAATTAATATATATATATATATATATATATATATATATATATATATATATACATATATATATATAATTTTATTTTATTTTATTTTTTTAAAGAACCCACCCATTCCAGACCGGGCAGACCCATGACAATGCTATTTCTCTAAGACAGGAATCTCCCGCCTCCTGCCCCCAAGAGCACAGCAGACTATTCAGCAGTCTGATTTTTTGGTAGATTTTGATAGTTTATAAAAAGTGTAATTGGGGATTCCCGATCATTTATTTTCAAGGTTGGAATGAGGCGTTGAACTGGGTTTTCTTCTCCATGCTGACCCTGTGGATGGAGGTGGACGCGGGGCGGGGATGCCAGCCTGATGCCAGCCCGATGCCAGGCACGCGCACGCCCTGCCTGGAGCTCCCAGCCCGGGGCGGGGGCAGTCTCGCTTGACAAGTGGCCCGGAATAGCGTCCCACGAGTGGAAGACAAGAAGACCGAGGCCCCAAAAGTGACAAAACTGGCGCAAGGTCACGCCGCTTGACATTGGCGGAGCTCGGGGACTCCGTGACCCAAGCACTTTTGACGGGAGGCCGCCCGGTGGAGGCGGCAGGACCCTCAGGCCGCCCTGGCGGACGCATGCGCAGGACCAGCCCTCGCCCCGCGCAGCCCAATGAGGCCATGAGCGTCCAGAGGCAGCGAGAGGGAGAGGCTGGGAACCGAGCTTGGGTCAGTGCCGACACCTGCGGGCTGGGCCGCATTTAGGAAATCCGGGATTTCAACGCCGTGGAGGTACGCCTCCGAGGTTGCGTGGGCGGGGAAAGGGGCGGGGACGACGCGAGACCCGCCCAGGAGCTTCCGCTGGGGGGCGGGGCCAGCCTCGTTCTGGCCGACGCGCAAAGCTGGCCGCAACGCGCTCTGAACTGTCGTAAAAGGGGCGGGGCGCCCCGGGCTCGGGACTGGCGTACGGCGGGGAGCGTCCCTCCGGGCCGCGGCTGGCAGGGTGCGGGGGCCATGGAGCGCTATGCGGGCGCCTTGGAGGAGGCGGTGGATGGTGCTCGGCAGCAGGAGCGGCACTACCAGCTGCTGTCAGCGCTGCAGAGCCTGGTCAAGGAGCTGCCCAGGTGCGGGCCGCGGGGCGGGCGGCGGCGGCGGCGGCGGCGGCGGCGGCGGCGGGGCCCGGTCCTGCCCGCGCTCACCACGCCCCTCTGCCCGCAGCTCTTTCCAGCAGCGCCTGTCCTACACCACGCTCAGCGACCTGGCCCTGGCGCTCCTCGACGGCACCGTGTTCGAGATCGTGCAGGGGCTGCTGGAGATCCAGCACCTCACCGAGAAGAGCCTCTACAACCAGCGCCTGCGGCTGCAGAACGAACACCGAGGTGCGTGGGGGCGGCGGGCCAACGGCGCTCCTCCTGCGGGAGGGAGGCCAGCTGCCCTGGGAGCTCGCGGGCTCTGCGGGCCGAGCCCTTCCCTGGCTGTTGCTCGGTAGAAGTTCCTTGTAGGGGGCAGATCAAGGGCGGAGTCTTTGCTAGCGTTTTTTGGTGTATTTTTTTATTTGCTTGTTCTTGTCTTTTGGTGGCAAATGGGTCAGTCCAGTTTTGTGGCTGGACAGGTATTAACGGTGTGACATTGCCCTGTGCATGGCAGAATGTTGAGGAGCATCCCGGGCTTCTATCCACGGGATGGCAGGGGCTCCCTCCCCCAGGCATGACAACCCAAAATGCCTCAGACATTCTTGGGGGTCCGCGTTAGCCCCGGATTGAGAGCCAGTGCTCTATTACAATGACTCTCCTATGTAACCGTAGAGGCTAGCCTCCTGAGAAATGAATCGCTCAAGGGTGCCTTCGACCTTCAGTCCAGGGTCACGTTACCTAGCTTGTCTCAAACTGCCTGGCGCTTCCTAAGGATTCGGTGTGGATTCGTGCATTGCAGTTGGTTTCTTTGGTCTCGGCTTCTGGAAGCCCTCAGCATTTATTGTGGCATTGGCCTTTAAAAATTCCAAGGCATCCTCCCTGCAGAATGTCCCCACTCTGGACCTGTCAGATTGCTTCTTCCCGCTGTCATTTAACCCATTTCTCCCCCCTCCGTGTTTCCTGTAAAGTGGGCAGCAGGCAGAGCCTGATGGTTTGCAGGTTAAATGTGGCAAAAATTCCTCTGGTAATACAGGTCCCTTCCCTATGGAGACAGGCGACGTATGTCTGCCCCAGAAGTAGTGCGTTTCTGTGATGGTTTTGTCAAATCTTTTTTACGCATCTGTTGAGATGATCAATAGCTTTTTGGTTACTATGGTGAGTTACATTGTTGTTGTTTTTAATTCCTGGGATAGACTGTATTCCTGGAATAGATCCTCCTTGATCATGATGTATTGTCCTTTTGGTCTACGTTGGATTGGATTTGCTAAAATCTCAAAGATTTTTGTCTTTGTGTTCATGAGGGACATTACTCTGTAGTTTTCTTGGGATGTCTGGTTTGGGTGTCAGGGTGATAACTGGCTTCGTAGGGTGAGTTGGGAAGTGTTCTCTTCGGTTTTCCAGAAGAGTTCGAGTAGGATCAGTATTGCATCTGCCCTGTTTGGGTGGTTATCTTTGTAAACATTTTTATCTATCTATATAATCTACATAAAACGCTAATATTCGAAGTGTCCTTCTTCACTCGTCTGGGTAATGACATCAAGTAGCGACACCTGGCTTCCTCTCCCTAGCGACCACTAGCCTCCTTGGAGTTTCTTCAGCCCAGGAACACGACTTGCTTTATAGCCAGGTGGAAACACTTTACAGTGTAACCAAATGTCTGTGAAGCGTTTTCCCGCGCCTCATCTCATTTGATGCTCACAGAAGTCCTGGAGTAGGTAGATAGGAGACTCAGTGGAATCCTATTTTCTTTCCATTAGCCAGAAAACAGAGATTTAGAAAGCTTAGAAACTTGACCCAACTGAAAAGAAGAAATAGTGTGGGGAAGACTTCGTATGAAAATGACTTCAGGTTTTCTCACTGCGCAGAATTTAGTCAAACACTGCTGCAGTTAAATATTTTATCCTTTGTTCTCCCTGCGTGATCTACAATAATAATCTACTTCGTGTTGATATTTACTGCTGTGTTGCTGATAATTACCGGAAAGAGAAGTTGGGGTGCTTCACTGGGCTGGAAAAGTTTAGCTACATCAGAAAGCAGGTCTGATTAAGCAAGTTCTATATCTATAAAAGGCTAAGTGGACTCGTGCATTCGCGATACATATAAAGCTCTTGGTGGTGCCTAGCGCACTGGTGTTTCCATCTGTTACTGTCGATCATGAGTTTGGTTGACACGTCTATTATTGAGAAAGGGCGAACAGCGATATTAAAATATTTCTTCTAATTAATTTCCTTTCAATATGCACGAACTCATGCACGGGCCACTAGTTGAGGTATAAGATGCATATGCTCACAGACCCAAAATACAGAGCTCATCATTCTTTTTAATGCTCAAATCGTGCCGCATTTGGCCAGAGGGAGGACTTCAGCCTGGCTCCTGAGTCGTGTTGACGAGTCCCATCATTCTTTGAGCACTTCCTTGCTTCCTGGTAGCAGTGGTTCTCAACCTTCTGGCCCTTTTAAATACAGTTCCTCATCTTGTGACCCAACCATAAAATTATTTTCGTTGCTACTTCATAACTGTCATGTTGCTACTGTTATGAGTCGTAATGCAAATATGTGATATGCAGGATGGTCTTAGGTGACCCCTGTGAAAGGGTCGTTCGACCGCCAAAGGGGTCGCGACCCACATGTTGAGAACCGCAGGTAGAGGCACGTGTTCAGGCTCATCTTTCCTCGTTCTTTGCCTGCTCCAGCCCCTCTTCTAGTCAGACCACCTGCAGCTTCCCCACACTAACCAGCCTCCCATCTGGACGGACAGCTTTGTAACCAGCCTCCCATTAGGACGGACACCTTTGTAACCAGCCTCCCATTAGGACGGACAGCTTTGTAACCAGCCTCCCATAAGGACGGACAGCTTTGTAACCAGCCTCCCATTAGGACGGACAGCTTTGTAACCAGCCTCCCATAAGGACGGACAGCTTTGTAACCAGCCTCCCATTAGGACGGACAGCTTTGTAACCAGCCTCCCATAAGGACGGACACCTTTGTAACCAGCCTCCCATTAGGACGGACAGCTTTGTAACCAGCCTCCCATAAGGACGGACACCTTTGTAACCAGCCTCCCATAAGGACGGACACCTTTGTAACCAGCCTCCCATTAGGACGGACACCTTTGTAACCAGCCTCCCATTAGGACGGACCAGCCTCCCATTAGGACGGACAGCTTTGGCCATGCAAAGCTTTCACTCCTGCCTTCGACTGAGTCTGCAGGTGCAGGCAGCAGTGGTGGCTCGCTCTTGCTGCCAATAAGTATTTAGTAAACGCGCTGGTTTTGGTAACCTTTATCTCCACAGAGGTTAGTAATTTGGGGAGCAAATAAAGCACTCAGAATAATATATTCTTTAAAAAGGAACCTGCCGTTTCTCCATGGAATGGTTTTGTTTGTTTTCTTTGAATCTTTATTGTTGAAAGTATTATATCGGTCCTCCTTTTTCCCTCCATTAGCCTCTTCCAGCCCGCTCCCACCCCTCCCCCCAGGTTGTTGTTTTTTTATTGTACTTCGTCATATTTATTCAGTTACTAAAAACAGAATGTTTCATGAATTTGCATGTCATCCTTGAGCAAGGGCCCTGCTGATCCTCTCTGTATCGCTCCAATTTTAGTCTGTGCTGCGGGAGTGAGCCCGAGGCTTGGTTCCACCTGGTGGGGCGTGTTTGATACTCTCTAGCCCAGCGGTTCTCCACCTGTGGATCGCGACCCCTTTGGGGGTCGAACGACCCTTTCACAGGGGTCGCCTAAGACCATTGGAAAACACATATATAATTACATATTGTTTTTGTAATTAATCACTATGCTTTAATTATGTTCAGTTTGTAACAATGAAAATACATCCTGCATATCAGATATTTACATGACGATTCCTAACAGTAGCAACATTACAGTGATGAAGTAGCAACGAAAATAATTTTATGGTTGGGGGTCACCACAACAGGAGGAACTGTATTAAAGGGTCGCGGCGTTAGGAAGGTTGGGAACCGCTGCTCTAGACCCTTTGCTACTTGCCCTTCAGAACACGTGGGCAGGTTTGGGTGCTGCCAGCCGTGGGCCAGCGCCCTGTGACTTTCTGGTCGTCCCTTCCTCCGACTGCGCAGGTGGTGACCGGCTGCGGTCGCTTTCCTTGGTCGTGACTGAGGCCCTGCACCCCTGCAGCGGGCGCCGCTCTCCTCTGATCGCTGGCTGCTCACCCAGTGGAGTCTGGGCATGGACCTGGGATTTGCAGCAATGTTTAATCAACAGTGAAAGGGACAGTTCCCCGTATTTATGTTTTCCTCATATTCTGCCTCCATTGGCGCACACATCAACTAGGGATCGTGTTTCTTGCGCCTATATCTTGAGGGTGGCTCTTGGTTTCAGACTCATTTATTTAATGTGATAAATGCCATAGTCGAGGTGTGTACCGGATCCCAAGAAACAGAAGGCTGTGGGCACAGCAGGTACCAAACAACTGGCAGAACCTCAGGGCCTCTCCTGAAAGAGCTGCAATGTGAGGGTTCTGCCGGGGACAGGGCTGGGCTTGTGTTTCCTTAGGACCGGGGCCTCCCCTTTATGGGAAGCTACGGCCACTGACACCCACTGGTCTAAGGTGTGGGCTGTGTAGTGTCATATATTCTGTTTTGTGACTGGTTTCCTTTCTGCTCTGTCCAGTCCTGAGACTCCATGCTAATCTTCTCTGCATCGTCCCATTTTAGTATTTGTGCTCAAGGCTTGGCTCCTTTCAGGGGGAAGTTTTTGATCCTCTCTAGACCCTTTGCTGCGTATCCTTCGGAACATGTGGGCAGAGGCCACACCTTGCTCTGGCACAGGGACGCCCCTCCTCATCCTCCTTTTCCAGGCCTCTGCCTGGATGGTCTCCTGGACATCTCAGTGGATGTCCCGTGGACGATGAGCAGGTCACACCCAGGACTGCTGGCCGGTGGCCATCTGAGCCCAGAAGCCTCCAGACCAGGGGTGGGCAAACTTTTTGACTCGAGGGCCACAATGGGTTCTTAAACTGGACCGGAGGGCCGGAACAAAAGCATGGATGGAGTGTTTGTGTGAGCTAATATAAATTCAAAGTAAACATCATTACATAAAAGGGTACGGTCTTTTTTTTTTTTAGTTTTATTCATTTCAAACAGGCCGGATTCGGCCCGCGGGCCGTAGTTTGCCCACGGCTGCTCCAGACCAGTCTCCCACCCACATGGTCTTGAGTCCAGGCTCCAGCCCTGAGCCCACCCCACACCAGCCGGCCCTGCCTCACCCTCTAGGGCACTATACCTTCCCGAGTCCCCCGGAGCCTCCTGCTGGAGAAAGGTCCTGCCCTGGGGGAGGGTAGGACTAAGTGGGCTGGGCTGCCCGGAGTCCCCGGAGCTCCCCCCTCACCGACCCCCCCACCTCGGCTTCTGGTACAGGGCTTCGGGCGGGCTGGGTGATCAGTTGGGGCCTCACGTCTGTGCCTCTGACCTGGCTGCCCTGGGCCTCAGTTTGGTGCTGAGGTGGGGCAGGCCCTGAGGTGGGCGGTGTTCCCTGGCCCCTCCATCTCGCCCCTGCTGCCTCCTGATGGACTCTCTGGCCTTGTTCCCTCCCAGTGCTCAGGCAGGCACTGCGGCAGAAGCACCAGGAAGCCCAGCAGGCCTGCCGGCCCCACAACTTGCCCGTGCTCCAGGCAGCTCAGCAGCGCGAGCAGGAGGTACGGGTGCAGGCAGGGTGGGCGCCACCTGGGCTCTGCGGACGGGGCACGTGGAGGGGCTCAGGGGGACTTGGGAGCTGCTGGCTGTCCTGGGCCCCAGCCTGGGCTGGGCTGCTGAAGGCTTGGGGAGTTCTTACATGTGGCTTCTCACCATGGGGTGTTGGAGTGCCAGGACCAGGTAGAGAGTGCGCGATCCCCTCCACCTGCTCCCCAAGACTGCAGCTCCTGATGGGCGGGGCCTGTGCAGGGGCCGTTGTGCCCATGGCTTTGGAGGTGCAAGGGCAATGGTGGGGTGACAGGGAGTCAGCAGGGGCCCATCCTGCTCCCTGGTTACTCAGGGACAACCAGAAAACCTAAATGTGACCAAGCAGCCATGGATGATGGGGGTGCATGCAGAGACAGGTGTGGGGTTCCGAGGCAGTCTCAAGGCTGGGGTGCAGGGAGGAGGTGCCGAGCTGGAGTCTCAGGCAGCCCCGTGGGGAGTAATGTGCACAGAGGCCCAGAGACAGTGGCCGACTTGCCAGAAGCAGAGGTGGAACGGTGTCTGCCAGTTCATGGTGGCCCTGAGCAGTCAGCACTGGGTGCGACCTGGTACAGCAGGGAGGACACCTGGCGGGAGGGCCTAGAGAGGACACGTGAGGGAGGGCAGCCGAGCCCTCGGGGGGTCTGGTGCAGCCAAGAAGGCAGTGGTCTGGGCGCAGTAAGGGAGCCAGCAGTGGTCCTGGAGCCCAGGCTTCTAGAAGGGTGGCAGTGGCAGGCCAGGACCCTGTGTGGGAGGTGTGGTGGGTGGAGGCTGAATCCCTGAGCTGCCCTCGCTGTGGCAGGCGATGGAGCACCGGATCCGTGAGGAGCAGCGGGCCATGGACCAGAAGATCATCCTGGAGCTGGACCGGAAGGTGGCGGACCAGCAGAGCACGCTGGAGAAGGCGGGCGTCGCCGGCTTCTACGTGACCACCAACCCGCAGGTCAGTGTCCTGGGCCTGCCCTGCCCTGGGGATGCTAATCCCCAAAGGCCAGATTCCGCCTGGGGTTGTAGGGCTGGTTGCCCAGGCAGCAGCAGGGTACGAGTGGGGGTGGGGAGGCCTGGGGTGCGCGGAGGAAGGGGAAATGGGAGGAGTTCGGCTCCAGGAAGGGTTTCTGTGCAGCGCTCAGCATGGAGGCTGGTCCCACCGCCTCTGCCCACAGGTGCAGGGGCACTGCTCACCGTCCCCAGCTCCACGGCGCCTGTGGGGCCCCCCCGGCATACCTCTGTGTGCGCCAAGCCCCTGGCAGGCTGTGGCCAGACTCACTGCCTGGCACACTCTAGGCCAGTGATGGCGAACCTTTTGAGCTCGGCGTATCAGCATTTTGAAAAACCCTAACTTAACTCTGGTGCCGTGTCACATATAGACATTTTTTGATATTTGCAACCATAGTAAAACAAAGATTTATATTTTTGATGTTTATTTTATATATTTAAATGCCATTTAACAAAGAAAAAACCAACCAAAAAAATGAGTTCACGTGTCACCTCTGACACGCGTGTCATAGGTTCGCCATCACTGCTCTAGGCCCTGAGGTCTGCGCCTGGGCCCTGGGGAGCGGGGCTTCTAGCTGGGCCTTTACTGCGGCAAAGGGGGCCCCGGTATCATTCTGGCCTCACAGTGGCCCCTCTGGATCCCAGGAGCTGACACTACAGATGAACCTGCTGGAGCTCATCCGGAAGCTGCAGCAGAGAGGCTGCCCGGCGGGGAAGGCAGCCCTGTGAGCAGGTGGGGTCCCTGCCAGTCACCCCCTGCCTGTCCGGGCTGGGAAGACAGTCCTGTCCCGGTCGCCACGCGTGGCACAAAACTAAGGAGCTTGTCTTCCCGACGTCCGGCCACCACCCTCCTAGGTGCCTGCAGGAAGGTCACCTCTGAGGAGAGGCGGGGTGGACCCCGGCTATGTCTGCCCCCCCCCCCCCCGCCCTTTGCCGGGGGTTTTATGCCTAAAGCTAGAGCGGTGTGGGGAAGGGGGAGCAGGCCCTCCTACTGGCTGGCTACACCAGAGCTGAGCAGAGGGTAGGGCTAGAGCCCCTGGCACCAGCACATCTCGGCCCCGTTCTTGGTCAGTTCAGCCCCCAGGTAGGAGAGGCCCGCGGCCCAACGCTTGTGTGAGCCAGAGAAATAAAGGTGCCTGGGTATGGCCTGCAAGTGGCTTGTGTGACAGCTCTGTGGTATCTGTCATGACCAGGGCCCAGCTGGGCCCTCACCAGGCAGCTCCACAGCCTGCAGGTGCCCTCACCCCGTGTCACAGAGGCCCCTGCCTGGGGCTGTCCCCGTGCAGCTGCAGGCCCATCACCTTTTCCCTGGGCCACTAGGGTGCAGCCAGTCTGCCTTATGTGGGTGGCAGCCACGGGCCTGCTCCTATTGGAGCAGCAAAAGCCTGGTGTGGGTCATGGGCACAGGGAGCAGGAAGGGGGTGAGGGACGGAGAGACCAGGGTGGGGAAGCACCACGCACAATCCCTGGGGCCTCCTGTCGGCATTGGTCAGAGCTGGGGGGTCCAGCACCCTGCATGGCGGGTCTGCAGGACGGCCTGGATGGAAGTGTGGGCCTGGCCCCCAGGGACACATGACTGGAGACAGGTGAGATTTCTCAGGCCTTGGAGCCACGCCCTCTCTGCTGACCCCACCTGAGGGCCCCACAGGAAAGGGCGTGGAGGGCTCCTGGCTGCAGAAGTAGTGGTTTATTGACCAGTCCACCTCCCTCAGCCTGGCTGGCCCACCTGTGGGGCTCACAGTGTGTGGGACAGACCCTGGTGGAAAGTGGGCCTTCGGGTCTAAGGTCGGGGGGTGGGCAGTTCCTGACCTCAGTGGCTCTGGCGGGTATCAGACCGCCTGTACGTGGGTGCCCACATCCTGGGTAGGAAGCAGTTCTCAGAGACTTGGGTGTGGAGAGGTGGATCTGCGTGCGGCTGGGCTGTAGCAGCATTGGCCTACGGGCCAGCCAGACCCCAGCCCGAGGCCCTGGGAAACCAAGTCTGGTGGCAGGTGGCCCGTGGGCGCTAGGCCGGGCGGTAGAAGAGGTTGCCTGTGTAGAGCCTCCGCTTGAGCTCTTGCCATAGCAGCTGCCGCTCCCGTCGGGCGCCCTTCATGACACTGTTGTTCTCCAGGGCGCGGCGGGACAGGTAGGGCAGCACCTCCATCACAGGGCCGTAGGGCACGTACTTGTACACAGGGAAGCCCGCCTGGCCTGCACGCACAGGCAGAGGGGGTGAGTCCTGACCCCGACGCCCGCACCCCACCCCCAGGGAGGCCCAGCTTACCCAGCGGGAAGCTGATCTGGTCACACATGCCCAGCAGCTGTCCAAAGTACACCTGGCGGTCAGCGGGGTGCAGACCCAACTCCTCCATCCTGTGACCAGGGAAGGCAGTAGGTGAGCCCCTGGGCCAGCTCTGAGCCACCCCCAGATCCCCATCCACATGCTCTCACCTCCATTCCTTGCAGGGCTATAAGCTCTGGCTCCCACCTCAGCCCGTGGCTGCTAAGTTCCCTACTTCCCAAGCCAGCCTCCCTCCTGCCGTGCTCACTCCCCGTGGCCCCTTCCCTCCTGCTTGTCCCAACCTCCCGTAGTGGTACTCTGACCCAGCAAGGCAGGCCTGCCCAGCAGCCGCCCCATGGTGTGGCTCGCAGAAGCTTCCAGCCCTCACACCCAACCAGGCCACTTGTCACCCCTCACTGGCTGCTCTGTCCTATAGAGCAGGCACCAGCCCCCAGTGGCCATTGTGTCTGTGGAAGGGGGCTGAGGGACACCGGCCATGAGATGCTGTCCCGTCCCAGCCACAAATGAGACCATTTAGGGCCAAGTAGGCCCCAGCTGAGCCCAGTCCACGCGGCAGGCCCACAGAACATACTGCTGTTTGGCCACTGAGTTTTGTGCTGGGTTGTTACTTGGTCAAAGCTGGCAGGGTCTCGGAGGTCCCTGGGGGCTGATCAGAGACCACACCGCTTCCCAGGGAAGGTGAGCCTGAGCGGCTTGAGGCTCCCTGGCCCCTGGAGCAGGAGGTGGCTGCCACTGCTGTGGGTTAGAAATCGCCGTTTCCATTGCAATTTCAGATGGAAAAGGCAGCACCATCCTAACAAAGGAGTGGTGACGTGACTGAACGGGTTTAGAGTCAGCGCTCCAGGCAGTGCCCTCACCCCACCTGCACCTTCACTGCCCCTTAGGAAGCCCCACTCAGCAGCAAGCCTTGGGCTCGGGGTGCCTCTGCTGTGGGACGGGGGCCCCTGCTTTACTCCTGGGAAACTTGAGGATCAGCAAGACTCAGTGCAGGGCCTAAGCCCCAGGAGGCAGTGACTGGGGAGAGGAGGGGAACTTGGACCCCGGGCCCCCAGTGTAGCACCGCTCGGGCTAAGACACAAGATGAAGGAAAGAACATGGCAGCAGTACTGGAACATTTAAGGATTTGCTTCACCTGCTTCCTATATCTGACTTGTAAGGATCCCACCACAGTTTTGCTCCACAGGGCAGGCATTTAAAGAGAAAACAGACTCTGTTAAATTCCAAATGCGTGTAAAATGTTAGGAGTAATTGTCTCTAAAGAGGCCAGGCATCAGACGTTTCCTGAGGGGTTTCAGCATTCCACCCTGCGTTTGTGTATTTTAAGAAGCTATTTAAGTCACCTAATGACATTTATTTTTTTGAATTTGAAACTAGTATGTCCGGTATTCATTTTAAAAACCAAATTAACTGCAGATAGCCTCTTTGCTACAGCAGTGCCAATGCCTCGCAAGACCTGGCGGACAGGGTCTGGGCAGCACTAAAGCCGCCTCTCCCGCTGTCCCACAGAAGTTCCCCCAAACACCCACCATGCCTGGCAGGGCACTCTGCACATCAGGCATGTCAAACTCATGGCCTGCGGGCCGCATGTCTCATTGGGCCCATGTTAGCCTTTGAGTTTGACATGTTTGCTGTACATGCTTCCAGGGTCTCGTCAAGCTCTTCCCTGACCCGGGAGCACTCACACAGCTGTGGGGGGCCGCCTTACCTGCGCAGCGTGAAGCGCACCGTGTCCTCGTTGTGGGAGGCCACCATCACTTCCGCCTTGCCATTGTTCTTCAGCTCCTCCAGGACGTAATTGAGGCACCTGGGGGGAGAGGCACGTGAGCCTGGGCCGGAGAGCTCCCCACGGGCAAAGGCCACAGGTGGGCCCAGGGCCACTCAGCGAGCCCGCTCCTCCTAGAGGTACCCATGGTGCCAGGACAAGACTAGGAGCACTCAGCCTTCTCAGTACCTGTGAGTACGAAAGAAAAAGCAAGCAGCACTGGGGTCAGGCATCGGGGGGAACTAGCTGAGGCACATGCCCTGTGCGTCCAGGACAGATGCAGCTTCACGTCCGGAAAGGGGCTCCCCGTGCTGGGGGAGCCTGACCGCTGCTCCATCTGGCAGTGAAAACAGCCGGGCAGGGTGCATGTCCTCGGACCCAGCAACTCCATTGCCAGCCACAGCTCGTCCTCACCCCTGGGCACAAAGGACGGACAGGCTGTGCCTTGGGTCACCCTTCTAACGCAGGACACCAAGCACCTTAGAGCTCGCAGGGACACATGAGCACAGGCACCCGCGTTGGCCATTAACAGTCTGCACGCCGACCTGGGGGATCCAGATACAGCTTTACCTGCAAAGCGAGGGCAGAAGACAGCGTACATGCTGACCATGAGGTCTGACCAAGAGAGGCGCATGCAGCTCCTGGAAGGAAGAGGGCGCTGCCAGGGCCGAAAGGCAGGTCAGTGAGGGAGACCCTTCGGGGTCTTTGAATTTGCAACACATTTGCACCACCTCGTAGAGAAACAGCACGCAGCCAGCCTGTCCGTCCTGCATGAACTATCACCCAGACAAACGCAGCACGCGAGACCGTGATGGTCCCTGGAAATAAGGTGAGTGCAGAGCGGGGAGGGCTACCTGGGCCACAGGAGCTGCCGGGACCCAGGCCAGTTCAGTTTCATGAGTCGACGTTTCTATATTAAAAAAGCCACCTCGCCAAAACCGGTTTGGCTCAGTGGATAGAGCGTCGGCCTGCGGACTGAAAGGTCCCAGGTTCGATTCCGGTCAAGGGCATGTACCTGGGTTGCAGGCACATCCCCAGTAGGAGGTGTGCAGGAGGTGGCTGATCGATGTTTCTCTCTCATCGATGTTTCTAACTCTCTGTCTCTCTCCCTTCCTCTCTGTAAAAAATCAATAAAATATATTTAAAAAAAAAAAAAAAAAAAAAAAAAAAAAAAAAAAAAAAAAAAAAAAAAAAAAAAAAAGCCACCTGGCCTGGCCAGTGTGGCTCAGTGGTTGAAAGTCAGCCCATGAACCAAGAGGTCACCAGTTCAATTCCCGGTCAGGGCACATGCCTGGGTTATGGGCTCAGTCCCCAATAGGGGGTGTGCTCTCTATCCCTCGCCCTTCCTCTCTCTAAAAAGTCAATAAAGACATTTTTAAAACGACCTTAATGTTTTTGAAAAAGTAAATCAAAAGCAGAAAACAATCAGTTCTGGCCTCAGGGCAAAAGTCTTGCTCTTACCAGAAGCTGCTGTCTCCAGGGCTGCTCCCCCTTCAGATAGGGGCCCATCGTGTCAGCTCCAGCACCAAGGAGGTATGTCCCCCCCCCCTTTTCTCCCTCCCCTCCCCTCCCCAGGTGGCCCTGCGGCTCTGGGACCTAAGAAGGACGGGCGCACCTGTGGTACATGGCGTTGGTGGCCTCGTACGTGGGGTTGATGGGGTCCTCATAGCCGATCTCGGCAGCGCGGGCCCGCTCCTGGGCCATGTAGGCACCCCGCACCAGCTTGGCTCCAAAACACCAGCCCTCGCGGCGAGCCAGCTCCAAGTCCAGGGTGACATTGTCATAAGCATCCTGCAGGGTCAGGGCCAAGAGTCAGTAACTAGGTCAGCCCCTCCAGCCAGCACTTCTAGGGCAAGCATGTCGAACTCGAGGGCCTCACGCCTCATTTACTTGGCCTGTGTGAGCCTTTGAGTGTGACCTGCTTGTCCTAGGACAGTGACGGTGAACCTATGACACACATGTCAGAGGTGACACGCGAACTCATTTTTTTGGTTGATTTTTCTTTGTTAAATGACATTTAAATATATAAAACAAATATCAAAAATATAAATCTTTGTTTTACTATGGTTGCAAAGATCAAAAAATTTCTATATGTGACACGGCATCAGAGTTAAGTTAGGGTTTTTCAAAATGCTGACACGCCGAGCTCAAAAGGTTCGCCATCACTGGCCTAGGACCTGTCTGGGCCTAGGAGCATCCAGGGTACAATCGGCAAGGGGCACCAGGGCAGCAGCTGGTGGCTGAGGGAGGTGCCCTGTGGGTGTCCAGGGGGTCTGGAAGACAGGTGTGGGTGAGAGAGGCCCTTGGACCTCTGTCCACAAGGAATGGTAACGGGGGGGGGGGGGGGGGCACCTGCAGCCTCTTCTGTTTGGCCTGGTCAGTCCTTTGAGGGAACAGAGCAGGTGCCAGCAGTCACTTTATATGTGTCTCCTCAGGCTGCCTAGATAACCCCTCACCCCCACCCGCGGCCTCTAAACACCTCACTGGTCCCCAAGGAGCCCGTTCTAGGTCTGTGCTCAGGGATCACCCTGAAGCATTACTGAGGGACATGCAAAATTCTAGGCAAAGGCCCAGAGCTTTCATCGAATTCTTACAGAAAACGGTCATTCATGAAGGCTTTGACATCTGGGATTTAAAGACATTAAGTGGACCCCGAACAAGCTCCTTCGTCTTCCTCCCGCCCCTTCAACACCTGGTCTGGGACCTGGATCGACCAACCTCCCTCCTCCACCTGGGGGCTCAGGTGGGGGCTTGCCACCACCGAAGGGCGGGCGGCTCGGGCCGGCGTACCCTGAGGTAGCACTGGTACGTGTTGAAGATGAGCGGCTTCTCCACGTTGAACCTGCGCTGCATTTCCAGCGTCAGGCGGCTGATGGCCGGCTGGAAGTAGGTCTGCTCCGCGTCCACCATCAGCCGCACCCCCGCTTCGGTGGCTTTCTTAGAGGTCAAGGGTGGGAGACAGGGTTTGTCTGGGGCTCAGGTGAGACAGGCGCCCCCCAGCCCCCGGGCACATCCCAGGCCTCGACCTTGGCCAGGACATCCATCCTCTGCAGCATCCTCCTCATCTGCCGTTCCTCCTCCTCGGTGAACCCCGACAGCAGAGGCTCCAGCTGTCCTGTCTGAGGGCGCACGCGGGCAGGTGTCAGCAAGCGCTGGACCAGCCCTCTCAAAGCCTGTGCTTCCCCTGCCCAGAGCCTACCAATACCTGCTGCCTGGTCCCCAAAACCAGCGAGACCCCCTCATCCAGGCCCCTCCTCCACCCTGTTTGCGCATGAAGATCAGCGCCCTGCCCTGAGGCCGGCTGGTGACCCAGGGACAAGGCCACTTGGAGGTGTAACCTCACAGGTCAGGCCTGCACCAAGTCTGCTCCCTCAACCTCCCCAGGACCCTTGGACGTCCCCCTTCTGTTCCCACACAGCGCTAAGGAGGCTACCCTTGACCCATCCAATCACCAGGAAGGGCTCAGCCCCAAGCAGGGCGCGGGCCCAGAGCAGTAACAGCCATGCAGCACAGACTGATGGGACAGAGGCACCAGCCCGATGGTGCCCTGCAGGGAGCTGGGGCAGGTTGGCACACACCCTGCAGGCCTGCGTGGCACTGGGGCCCTCTGCTCTCCCCACTTGCCCGCTAACCCTGGCCAGGGCGCTCTGAGGAGGAGTGGGGGTCCGCGGTGTCTCAGCTGGAGGTGTGTGGAAGGCAGCGTTTGCCTCTGCTGTTGCTTCACATCCAGCCTCAGAGGCGATTTCAAACGCGGCCTCCGCGTCCCCGACACCCTCCTGGGGCAAGTGGAGTCTCATTCCTTCCCCTGCACGTGGGCCGCCTAGTGACTGACTGACTTAATCAACAGAGCCAGGCGGGGAGATGCGGGATTCTGAGGCGAGGCTAGGAAAGGTGACAGCTCCCGCCTGGCCCTGGGGACACTCGCACTGGGAACCAGCGGCCACACAGTGCGGAAGCCCTGGCCGGCCGCTGGCCATGCACGTGGGGACCCTCCACACTGACCCCAGCCTCTGCCGCTCCAAGTACAACCGCAAGGGAAACTGAGAGAACCACCTGGGAGGGCGATCATATGAGCGTAGTCCTTTCAGGCCCGTGAGGTTCGGGGTGACCCAACATGCAAAGACAGATGACATGGGAAGGCTCCCCAGATGTCCCTCGCCTCGTGGGTCTCTGTCCCACTCTATGGGGCACTAGTGGGTCTGTCTTCTTCCCCCTAGACCCAGCATGTCAAACTCAAAGGCTAACACGGGCCAAATACCATAAATGAGGCATGTGGCCCGCAGGCCGTGAGTTTGACATCCTTGCCCTGGACCATGGGGTCCTGTGGGGCCAGGGAGGACAGTAGTCTTGGCCCAGGATGGGCGACAGGAACAAGGCCCCTCCCGGCCCAGCCTCCTCTGGGACAGGGCTCACTGGCGAGCGGGGTGGCGTCACCTGCATGTTAGGGACCACCAGGTGCTTGGAGAGCTCGGTCCTGCTGTCGATGAGGCCGCTCCAGTCCAGCAGGTCCAGGGTCCTGCGGGAGAAGGGCGGTCAGCAGAGTGGTGGCAGCAGCTAGAATCTGTGTGGGGGCCTAGACCCCAAACCAGTCCATTCCCTAAAAGAGCACCCCGAAACCCAGTCCCTGCAGAACCCGCCTCAGTGTTCAGTTTCAAAAGTCAGATAAAATATAAATGTCATTCTCTGTTTGAAAAATGAAAACCAACCCTGGCCGGTGTAGCTCGGTGGGAGTGTCGTACCGAAGGGTCACAGGTTCCGATTCCTGGTGGGGCGCATACCCCCAGGTTTGATCTCCGGCCAGGGGGTGCATACAGGAGGCAACTGCTCGCTGTTTCTCATATCGATGTTTCTCTCTCTCTCCCTTGCTTTCTCTCTCTCTAAAAACAATGAAAAAAATATCCTCAGATGAGGATTAAAAAAAACACACAAAAACCCAAAACATGAACGTGTCCTGCATCGGGGCAGCGGCAGCTCTGAAACCTTGGGGCTTGTACCAAGGCCCCACAGAGACCTCAGTCCCCGCCCCTGAGGATGAAGCCCGGGGCCCTGCGGGGCTCAGCGGCCCTGGCCCTTCACCTGTCAGCGGGCGGGCCCAGGAGGGCGGTACTCCTCATCAGCTGCAGTCACCGAGCCTGTGCCCAAGCTGCCGGCCCTCCCCCATGGATCCCAGTTGCCTGTCAGCTCCCGTCCTGTGCACCTCAGGGCAGCAGTTTCTTTGGCGCCATCACCCCAAGGCCCACAGACTGGAGGGGGGTGACCAGGGTTGGGAGAGGCTGCTGGGACTCAGCTGGAACCACGCCTGACCGGGTAGATGCCCATCTCAGGCAGGCGCTGCTCTTACCCGGACACGCCCAGGGTCTCTGCTCTGAACCAGTCCTCAATCTCCTTCCGGGACGCAATGCCCATCCTCGCCACGCTTTCCTGGAGAAGCGAGAAGGCGTCTGTCCCGGGCCCCCCGGCCCCACCCACTCCCATTCCGTGTCTCCCGCCCGTCGGTGTGTGATCTGTTTTGACTTGGTTACACTGTTAGTTCCGGCTGTGTTTCTGCTCCTTAGATGGTCCCTCCCCGCGGGTTCCGGATGCCCCTTTCCTGTCCCTGCAGCTCCGCAGAGCTCTGCTACCTGCAGGGCCAGCCCCCCCACCCCTCTGTCCAGTGTGACCGCAGCCTCTGGTCAGATTCCTTCCCCGCCAAACCCTAGCAGCTTCAGGGTGGGCTGCGGGCCCTGGAGCAGCTCTGGGAACCCACCTTAGACACTGCCTGGCCGTTTCTCCTGGGCAGGGCGCCGCCCCAGCCCCCCCACTGTCTACCCGTCTACTCACACCACCAGGGAAGGGCTGCCCACCTGCAGTGCCGCCACCTCCAGCTTTGTGTCCATGGCATTCAGCCCGACCTTCCCTTGCTCAGCAGCCATTTGGTGAAAGAACCGTCTCCACTTGGTCAGCACGTCTGAGAACTGCAGCTGCAAATGCGGGCCTGAGCTGCCGTCACGGGCGCATGCCCAGCTCCCGACCCCCAGGACCCCCACACAGCCCCAGGGCCCCTCCCATCCCACCTGTGTGCTTGGCTCCCAGCCCCAAGGTACTGGCATGGTAGCCTGCAGTTCCTGCAAACTCTCTCGGCACGTGGAAGGTTCTAGCACTTACCAGAAACTGGGGTCTCCCCAGCGCAGTGAGCTTGATGGCTGAGAAGCCGTCATCGCTGGCTCCACCTGGGGAAGCCGCAGGAAGAGCCCTCAGGCTCCAGCGAAGGGTGGGAGGGGACCAGGAGCTGTGCTCACCCAGAACCAGCGGGCACACAGCTCCTCCACACGCCTCACCCCGTGGGGACAGTGACTCATCTGCGTTCGCCATGTGGGTCAGGAAGGCGGTGGGGAGGCCTGCCCATTCCTACATAGTCCTGCTGGCCACCCCTCTCCCTGCTGCTTCCTCGCCCCTGCCATCAGCCCCCGGCTGCCCACGGGGGGGCTCGCAAACACAAACATGGAGCAGAAAGCGGGCTGGAGCGCGGAAGGGGCTCAATCACTACATTTGTATCTGGCTTATGGCTTCCAGAGCGTGTCTCTGCTTCTATGGGAGCCTCCTGTCTGTTTGCTCCCAGGCAGAGTGGGCAGGGAGGCAAACAGGTGCCCCTGGCACTGGACGGCCAAGTGTCTGCCTGACTGGCCAGGGTCTCCCCAGCACCACTTAGAAGACTGTTCTGATCCTGGCCTGTCGGAAGGTGTGGGACCCACTTTCCCGTCACAGGAGGCTGCTGGGGATGCACAGGGGACGGCGCTGTGACCTGGCGGGTCTCTAACAACTACAGGACACGAGGCCTCAGTGACCCCTGGGTAGGGACTCCCGTCGTGAGGCTGTGAGGAGGAATTCTCCACCAGAGGAGATGGACACGCGCTCCCTGAACAGTGCAGCCCTCGCCTACCCAAGTGCCTTGTGTACCCAACGTCTTGACCCTGCCACACCTGGGGGCTGCTGGCCACCAAAAGCCTTCCTAGAGGTCCACACGGGCACCTGGTGCCCAGGAAAGGGGAGGGAGGCATCTTCCTGGGGGCAACTGGGTTCTTCGCGGAGCTGCTGGACGCAGGCCTGACCCCAGCGTGACTTAAGCCTGGCCTGTGGCTCCCCCGTCACCCCAGGTTATCCTCACAACCGTCAGGGCCGCCCAGACAGAGAGGAAGCCCTGAGCGCGCCCTCCGGTCCGGCCTCCCGCACGCGCATTTCCACGTGCCACGGTCGCCGGGCTGGGCCTGGCAGGGGGACAGCCAGCCAAGAGCAGGGCCCCACCTGAAGCCTCGATGCAGCGCAGGAACGTCTCCATGTGGCGGTCACACTTGGCTTCGTTGGCGTAGAAGTAGGTGCGGGCGCTGACGACGCCGTCCCTGCGGTCTCCGAAGGCCTGGTGGGCCTGGTACTGCTTCTCCCTCTTACTGGCGCCTGCAAACGGCCTGAACGCTGACCGGGCCTGGCACCCGCCCAGCCTCGCTCCCAGCACACAGATGCCCTGACCCCCTGCACGTGCTCCAGGCTGTTTGCCAGTCCCAAAGTCACCTGACCCCGCACCCACTGCTCCTCCTCGGAAGAGCCCTAGTCACATGGCAGACCTGGGCCGGGGAGGCAGAACCTGGACCAACGGAGGGCTGGGAGGATGCGTCAGCACACTCAGAGCCATGGCCTGGGTGCCCATGGACGTGGGACAGAACTCAGCACCGTCCTTTGCCCCCTGGGCTGGCTATGCCCCCTCTCCAGGTGCCAGCCATGGTGGGGGGGGGGGGTCAGGGGGGTGGCGGTGAGAGCATTTGTTGGTGAGCAGCCCCCTCTTACCTCCGTCCTTCCTCTCCGCGGCTGAAGTGCAGGACCTTAGGGAAGGAAGAGGGCAAGGGTCAAGGTCATGCCACCCCAGGCACAACTGACAAGGATGAACCCACCAGGGTGAGAGAAAACGAGGCTGAGCCCTGAACCTGACCTGAAAGCTGTGCGAGGGCTGGTGAGCCAGGGCAGGGAAGAGGGACTCAGCCGCCCCACCCACCCAGGCCTCCAGTGACCCCCTCTGAGCTGGGAGGGGAGCGGCCGGCACCGGAGAAGCCAGCCGAGGTTCCCCGTGGGCGGAGCCCTCCCAGCCTGGACCAGAAGTAAAAGCCCCTGACAGATGGGAGCTCTCTGAACAGCCCAGAGCAGGAGTGAGTCCTGGAAGGAGGCCTCGCCCTGCAGCCATTCCTTCTGAGGACAGGACAGAACTATAGGGCCAGTCAGGGCTGACGAGAAACGAAGACGGGCCACCACCGGCGTACAAATCCCCCAAACGGATGAGTGAGGGCCCCTAGCTTTACCCTCCACCCCTCCTCATCCAGGCACCTCCAACCACTGGGGCCCAAGACTGGCCTCCTGCTCCCACACACAGCCGACCCCATCTCTAGCCACCCAGCACCCGGCTGCACTCTTGCCCCTTAGACTTAATTTCCAAGCAGCAACCAAAATGTTTCTTTTGAAAATGAAAACCCTCCCATCATACCTGAATAGCACCCCCAGGCCTCATGAGGGCAGGACAGCGAGGCCAGCCCTCAGCCCTGGCCACCCCCACCCCGACCAGCGCTCCGCCACACTGGCCTCGGCAGTCCCCGGCCGTGCCCTCGCTGGCCCTCTCCAGCCCTGCCCACTCCCCTCGCCCCCCCCACCCCCCACCGCCCCTCAGCATCACAGCAACCACCATCCTCCTCCTCACAGTGGCGTGGGGTCGTCAGCAGGAGGCTAAGTCTTCAGATGAAGGGAGTGCTTGCTCATCATGGCTGCCCACAGGCCCAGGGCAGGCACCCGCAGCTTTATCACCCGATTTGTAGCTAAAGCCTCTCAGTCAGGGACCAGAGAGCGGGCTCAGCGCAGCTGCACAGCCCCGCAGCTCTGCTCATCTGCTCTCACCCACAGGGACGGGGCCGTGGCATCCCCCGGGGGTGCTCTAGGCCACGGGAAAGCAAGGGAAGCTGCGGACAGGGACCTGCACCTGTGGTGGAGGCCCCACCTGTGTTAAGAGGCTGTGCCCACTTTCACCTCACTGACCCCAAGCAAGTCCCCAGGCCTGAGCCTGGGACCCTGGGACAGACGCCTAGGGCAGGACCCACGAGGCCACAGCCTGGGGGCAAGAATGGGAGCTACGCCTGCAGCCACTGCTCCGGCCACCTCATGCCAACCACAAGCAAGTGCTTGATGCACTAGTCACAGAAGGAAGAGGGTGAGGTATGTGACCATGTTGGCCCCACATACGACATCCCTGCGGGAATAAGGAGCTCCCACCCCAACCCCCAACCTGAGGCCCCTGGGCAAGGGCACCTACAAGACCCAGGCCCAGGCCCTCCAAGGTGTGGCCCAGGCAGGGGCCTGGTCAGCTCGGGCAGCAGCTGGCGGGGCACAGGCCTGCTCCACAACCACAATCCGTGGCTCAGAGAAGGTGAGTGTTAACCTGTCTACTAGGCAGACGGCCTTCCATCGATGGGAACCGTTACCTATATCTAAAGGTCTCCAGGCTCCGAGGACTCCCCCTTTCTCACTCCCAGCATGCTCAGCGGCAGGAAAGCCCCGGAGGTCATGGTTATTTCTGCCCCCAAGACGCTCTGTGCACGTGTACCCCAGGGAGCTGCCACCACTCGGGGGACCGAAGCCCAGACAGCCTCCAGCCAGCCCTGGGTCTGCATAAACAGGGCAGACACACCTGCCGTCACACTGTCCCTGGGTGTCCTTATCACAGCCCATCGCCAGGTAGATGATACACTAGCCCCTTCCCCCTTCTCCATGGCCTCTGCCTGCTGGGAGACCCCATGGGGGTCCTCTCCTAGAGTCGGGGCCCTGGCCTCTGCCTTCCATCAAGTGTTCTGGGAAACACCACTCCACACCCTCCCCAGATGGCTACTGTCTCCCGCCTCCTGCTTCCTGCCCTGAGAGGCCCTCCTGGGCCTGCAGATGCCTCCATGCTGTCTGTGCCTTTAACAGCTGTGCCCAAGGCAGGCCCGGCAATCCCCGCCTGCAGCCTTCATTTGGGGCAGGGGCCTCCACATCCATGGGCACGTCTAGAGCCCCCCCTAGCTGCCAGGCAGGCAGGCAACCTGATGGTGCACACGTCAGCCCAGGCCCCTCTGCGGGCACAGGGCCTCTGTCAGCAGAGCTGGGCACAAGTCCTTGGCACATGCCACTGGCTTGGCTGGCAGTCACCCTGTTCGGATGGGGAGGGACCACCACTCATGTCCCAGAGCCCACCAAGTGGTGCTCCTGCAGGGCAAGGGCTGCTAACAGCAGGGCAGTCCAAGGGCACAGGCCCCTGAGCCACATGGCAAGGAGGAAGCCAGGCAGGCCACCCTGGGAAAGGAATCTTTTCATACAAGAGAGAGAGAGAGAGAGAGAGAAAGAGAGAGAGAGAGAGAGAGAGAGAGAGAGAGAGAGAGAGAGAGAGGAGAGAGGAAATCCCACGGTGAAACCATCCAGCCCTCACCCTGACCCAGCGGGACACAGAGCCTATTAGTTAGTCAACAGGCAGCCACAGCCCCCACTGGAAACAGAGGGGGTACTCAGCTGGAGAACCCCGCCTTCAAGACAGCGAATCACTAGGCAGGGGCTGGGCTCCCCAGGCCAATTGGCTGTGAGGCTTGGACATTCTGTTCCCAGGGCAGGAGCCTCATGTGACTCCTTTCCCTCCTCTCCCCTGCCCTCCCACCCCCCCCCCTTACCCTCCCCCCCCCCCCCCCCCCCGCATGGTAAACACCACAGCCTGACACAGGCAGGTTATTCAGCAAGCTGGCCCTAGACTGACCCAGGTTATTCAGCAAGCCTGGCCCCAAGCCTCGGGTCAGTCGGGCACAATTGCTGTCAGCACTTGGACTCCAGATGCAAATGAGGGCCCTGTCCGGACAGGTGCAGGCATCAGCACGGAAACCGGGCATTTTGCAAAGAAAGGGCAGGTCTTGTCTGTACTTCCCCTAAGGACACTACTCCAGGAAGCGGAGGGTGACCTAATTCTGACTCAGCAGGGTGGCTCAGGGACATGCCCGTGTTTCCACACTCACTGCCCAGAGAGCAAACCCTGCAGCAAGTTGGTGGCCGCAGGAGGAACCCAGGCAGCTTGTCAACCATTCGTGGCTGCACAATCCCTTCCCCACTGATGCCTGGGCAGGCTCCGAGCCCACCTGCATATCAGAACACCACCTCAGGGGCCAGGAAAGGGTGGGGTCCTCCCAGGAGAGATGCTGGGGCAGAGCAGGAAGGCTCCACACCAGGGCAGGCAACCAACTGGGCAGCCCTATTCTCAGCCTGAGAGCCACTCAGCGTGTGTGCCACAGCTCAACTCGGCCCTCGCAGGGCGAAAGCGATTTGATTTCATATAATTTTCACACGTCACGAAATACTATCCTTGCTCTGATTTGCTTCAACCATTTAAAAGTGCAGAAACCATCCTCAGCTTGCAGACTGTGCAAAACCAGGCGGTGGGTGGGATCGGCTGCGGTCATAGCGTGCTGACCCCTGGTCTCGATGTCCCTCCGGCCTCGTGCACACAGAACATGCCATGGAAGCCCAGGGCTGTAATCCTCACGAGGCAAAAGCGCAAGAACCCCAGGCTGAGGTTCCGGGAACCAGGCTGACCAAGCTCTCCTCGCCCTGGCCTCCTCCCAGCCTGGGCCTTGACCCAGCCCCTGGCTGCCCTGGGGCGCTTTGGGGTTACCAGCAGACGCCCCGCAGGCCTTACTCCATCTCCTGGTGCCCCGCCTCCTCTTGGCTCAGGTCCTCCTCCACTCCGTAGTCCAGGATGGAGCCCACGCCAAAGGCCCTGTTGTGCTGGATTAGGGGCTGGATGGACTCCTGGTCCTCACCGGCCACAAACTGTCCGTAAAAAGTCATCTTCATCAGCCTGTCGAACAGCCGTTGTCCTAGAAGCCTCCTGGTGAAATGGAGCAGCTGAAAGGCAAAGGGAAGAAGTTGTCTCGGGCCAGCAGCCTCCCCTGTCCCCAGCAGGACACCCTGCTTCCCTGGCCCCTTCACTCCAACCACAAAGCTTGGACACTCTCCTAGAGCCTCCATCTTATTTAATTTAATTTATTTACTTATTTACTTACTTACTTACTAGAGGCCCAGTGCACGAAATTCGTTCACTGGGGGAGGGGGCGTCCCTCAGCCCGGCCTGCGCCCTCTAGCAGTCCGGGAGCCCTCGGGGGATGTCCAACTGCCACAGAGGCGGGAGAGGCTTCTACCACCACAGCTGTGCTCACCAGCCGTGAGCCTGGCTTCTGAATGAGCAGAGCTCCCCCTGTGGGATCTGGTTGAAACCAGCTCTCCAAAATCCCCTGAGGGGTCCTGGATTGCGAGAGGGCACAGGCCAGGCCAAGGGACCCCACTGCTGCATGATCAGGGCCGGGGAGAGATGCGGGAGGTTGGCCAGCCGAGGAGGGACTGCGGGAGGGCTCCAGGGCATGTCGGCCCCCAGCAGCAAGCGAACATACTGGTTGGAGTGTCTACGCCCTGGTGGTCAGTGCATGTCATAGGGAGCGGTTGAGTGGCCTTAGCATATCATTAGCATATTATGCTTTGGTTGAATGGCTGGTCAACCGGGCACTTAGCATATTAGGCTATTATTATAAAGAAGGATTTTTGTTCATCTTCACTCAAGGATATTTCTTTCCATTGATTTTTAGAGAGAGTGGAAGAGAGGGGAAAGAGAGAGAAACATCGATGTGAGACACATCAACTGGTTGCCTCCCACACACCGGCAGGGCCGGGGATCCAGCCTGCAACCAAAGTATGTGCCCTTAACCAGATTTAAACCCATGACCCTTCATTCCACAGGCCAATGCTCTAACCACTGAACAAACTGGCTAGGGCCCCAGGGCCTCAATTTTAGAGTGGAGACCACCCAAAGCAGCTAGTCTACCTGCAGCAACTGTCAATCACCATTCCTCATGCAGGGTGGGTCCCAAGAGCCACCGCTGTGGCCACTCCTCCTCGCCCTGCATGCTCACAGATGGTCCCAGCGGCACTCGGCAGGTGCCCGGCCACAGCGGGTGGATAAAGAAGTCAACGGCTGGTCTCCGGGAAGAGCAATGGGCATGTTCACAACATTCCCTATACCCACACCTCAGAAGGCTACGCTGGGGAGGAGGAGGACTTGGTACAGCTTTCCAGAAGGCGAGCGCCTAGATGTTTCAATGGTTTGTTCACTGCTAAGTCCAAGTTCCTAATACAGTGCCTGGCAAGGGGCCAGGTCTTCAAATAGTTGTAGAACAAACAAACATGTGCGGAATGAATCTGGGGTGAGGTGTAGGTGGCAATAAGCCAGGTGGACCATCTGCAGAGTTCTGTGAGAGGAGAGCCCGCCCTGGGACCAACGGGGGCCACGGCGGGCCAGCAGCTCAGGCGGACGTGTCCCTGAGGAAGGCAGCTGCCCCCCAACTACCCAGCTTTCTCCTCCAATCACATCCCACATTTCTGCCATCGTACATTCAAATGCCCTGAGCAGCCGCTTCATGCCAGTACAACTCTGGGCTGCACGGAACAGGGGAGCTCATATGCTACCGGGGAGAGACTCCGAAGAAGGGAGGAGAGAGGTCACTCCAGGGGATGATTTAGAACAGGGAGGGCAGTGTTTGCTAACTGGCATGCAGAGAGGGGGCCTTGCCAAGGTGAGGGGGTGACACAGCTGCTGCCATGGGACAGCCAGAGCGAGAGGAACCTCCAGGGGATGGCTGCTGGGAGGGCCCCCCCCCCCCACCCCCCGCACCCATCTGGGAATTCCTGGGTCTTCTGCCCCTGTCCCAGCTACAGACAGGAAAAGCCTGAGGGTTCTCAAATAATAGAACCCCCTTTATTGGGGGGAAGATCTGTTGGGATCAGGGTTCCAAGGAACAACCGCAAGCAGCCCACACTGGCCCAGCGGCAGACAGGCCCGGAATGCAGGATGGCGCTCCGTGGCGCTGCCTCAAGGCCACCGGGAGCAGTGCAGAGCGCCCCAAGGACGAGGCTCTCCAGCCATCACCTCTGTCTCGCTGCAGCCTGTGTCTAATTCTACTGTATCTCGTTGTTTTTATAAAGGGGATTAGAAATGGAAAACGAAAGGGCCAACAGGGAGGACAAGGCAGGCCTCCCTCTCTCCCCCCAGCCTAACACTGAGCCACGGCCAAAGGGGCCTCGCAGGAGGAAAAGCAGGTCTTTTATTATCATTATCATCATTATCATTGATTTTTAGAGAGAAGGATAGATAGAAACATCGATGAGAGAGAAACATCATGGATCGGCTGCCTCCTGCACACCCCCTGCTAGGGATCGAGCCTGCAACCCGGGCATGTGCCCTGACCGGCAATCAAACCAGTGACCTCTTGGTTCATGGGTGGATGCTCAACCACTGAGCCACACAGGCCAGGCAAAAACTTGCCGTAAACATATCAAAGCTCATCCCAGTGGCAGGCGGGGCGGAATGACCGTCACCCGGCTCTGGAAGGAACCCGTGACAGTGTGCGCGCCAGCTCTGGCACCCTGTGCGGGGGTGTCTCCTCCCAGGCCTGCAAACCTTCCCATCCAGGGCCACATGGTAAATAATTTATTTAGGCTTTGCGGGCCAAACTGCCTCTGTCATCAGTATTTAACTCCGCCAACACAGCCCAAAACAGCCACAGCCACCACTAATGGACAGAGCAAGAACAGGGCCGACACGTTAGTGACACAGGCAGGAAGGCTGGGACCGGGGACCCTGGGCTGGTGCCCTCCCACACACCCTGCACTGCGCTCTTCGCTGACCTACTCTGCTCCAAGGGCAGGGGGGCTCAGAGGGCATGGCCACCCAGGTCACGGGGCCAGTCACTCACCCTCTCACCCTGGCAAAGGGGAGGCCGACCTGCCACAGGGCTGTGGAAGGGCACAGGGCAGGGCTGGCAGTTTCAAATCCAACCCCAGAACAAGTGGCCACTTTGCAGCCATCCGGGCAGCACGACCTGACAGCCCCACCTTCTCTCCAGGTGGGGGCACCCTTCCTGGATTTAGAATCTTGCACCCGTCACACACACTCTAGTTCTCATGTCAGACATGGATGCGTGCAGCGCACGGCTTTAGTGGGCCGTCTCTCCCTGCCTCTGGCAGGACCACTTGTCATCACCTGCAGTGACCCCTTCCATCACCACCTTCTGCACCGGCTCACGCCCAAGCACAGAAGCCTTTGTCACAGAAGACCTGGATTTTCTAAACAATCTCAGTGTGGCCCCCACTGAGTCCGGAGCCAGTGCAACAGCTCAAACCCGGCTCCACAGGCTGCCACTCTCCCTGGGAGCAGATTTAATGACCCTCAGCACCCCAGCAGGAATTGCAGGGACCAGCGCCACTGAGCAGGAGTAATTCTCAGCCGGGAGAATTTTTACTGCAGGGTAGAGGACAGGGAAGGGCCACAAGTCTATGCAGTTGGTCTGGCCTCTGCCTCATTTCCTCCAGTCCCAGGCACCGAGACCACCATCACTCACGAGACCACCAGCAATGACAAAGGTAGAACAGGCCCCATGGGGGGGGGGGGCGGCAGGCAGAGCACCTCCCACCGATAGTGGGCTCCTTGAGGGCATCCCCAGGGCACAGGCTGGACTTGAGGGAGCCTAGGAGGGGTCCCCAGCCTCTTCCAGGCACCCGCAGCTCAGTCCCTGCATCCCAGCACTTGCCCCTCGCGGGCATCACAGAGAGCGCTCCCCCACCCCCACCCCCCCCTCCCCGGCCCCAGGTAACCGAGGGCCTCTGGCTTCACTGGCTTCACTGCTGGTTTTGAACCTGGGGAATAAAATCCAGGGCTGTACCAGATGAAATATGGCCTCGCTGGTTCCAAGCCCCCTCCCTCCCTCCCTTCCACCCACACCAGGGGCACAGCTTCTGCACCGCTCATCCCAGTTCTGCCTGGCAGTCCCCGTGGTGCCCAGACTGTGGGAGCCGGTCCCGTATTTGCCCTCTGTAGGGACCCCACAGACAACCACTCTCTGCCTCCCTAAGTCTTCCCACCCCCAGCTGCCTCCTCCCCCCTGAATGCTGCACCACCAGTGCTCGCTGCTCCTTTCTGGCTTCCCCTCACATGTGGGTGCTCCCCAAAGGGCCATCACTTCCCTCAGCCCCTTCTTGCCCTCCTCCCTCAGTTGGCCAGGGCCGCTGTCACAAACATGGGATGGCTTCCCAGAGGCCTCCCCTTCTCCTGTTCAGCCCCTCCCTCCTCCCATCAGTACCAGACTCCACATCTGACCGTGCAGCTTCTGGAAGGATCCGGGCCAACACCTCCACTGGCCGCAGTGTCCCTTCAGAGCCGCCAGACACTGACTCTCTGGACCTGAGCCCTCACCTCCCACCTGCTGTGGCCCGGCCTTCACCGAAGCCTGAGATGTGCTCCTTGGTCCAGCCCCCCCTCCCCCCCAGGGGCGGAGGGAGGCAGCACAATGCCCTTCAGCAGTCTCACCTGAGAAACCGCGGCCAACCAACCGCAAGAAGAACCTTCCGGACCCTTGGTACCAACTGGAGCCTTGCAAACTGTTCCCAGGATCCCTTTGGAAAAAACTGCATCTCTACCCAGAGGGACAGTGGCTAAGGCACTGAGAGCCCCGCTTCTCACCTGCCCAAAGCCCTCACACTTTTCAAAGTTACCGCGTTAAAGGTTTAAAAGTCTGGTGTTTGAGCAGCTTCCCATCTCCTCCCGCAACACCATCTGTTCATAGTGGCTGCGTCTGGGAAGCCCCTGGATCGCGGAGAACTCTGGGGACCCGGCCTACGAACCCTTCAATTCCACCAGACCTCGCTTGGGGCAGCACGGAGGACACTCGATTTTAAATTTCAGATCACAACTTTGTATTCCTGCGGGCGGTACCGGGCTTAACGTGGAGCTGTTCTTTGTTTTTGGCTGGTAGTACTGAGGAGTCGCAAAATTCAGGGACCAAAGGAATGCAGGAAACACCTCCCTCCCGACTTCCCTCGCTACAGGCGATGCCCAATTAGCGCCTTCTTTACACTCTGAAAGTTCGTAACGAATCCCGGGACGAGCAGAGGAACCCGGGGGCCTGCGTACCCGCCCGCACACCGCCCCGCCGCCCCCCTCCCCCGCCCGCCACCCGCTCGCACCTGCTCGTGGTGCGCCAGCAGCGCGGGCGAGGCGCACAGGCGCAGCACCAGCAGGCTGCGCACCAGCTCCCAGCTGCGCCGGCTGCGGTACGCCTCCTGCGCGTTGTCGAACTCCACGGCGGGCACCGGCGGCCGCACGGCCTCGGCCGCCCCGCGTCCGCGCACCGCCCCCCGGCCAGCGGCGGGCTGCTCGCGGGTCTTCGGCGCCGCCGTGGACAGCGGGGCGAGGCGGGGAGTGCGGGAGCGCACCGCGGCGAGGATGCGCCTTAGAGCCATGGCCAGGCCCCGGCGTGCGCGGGAGTTGCTTAAGTACCCGCTGCCGCTGCCGCGCCGCCCCGCAGGCCCCGCCCCGCGCCCAGCCGCGCCCGCTTCTCCCGAGGCCCCACGGGGCCCCAGGACCCGCGCCCCCTCCAGGGAGGCCCCGCCCTGCGCTCGGGGGCGCGCGCCCTGCGGAAGCCCCGCCCCGCCCCGCCCAGCGGGCGCGCCGGCTCCTGGGAACGCCCAGCCCCAGGAGCGTCCCGGGACGGTGTGTGTCCCGTGGCAGGTCCCGCGCACGGGGCGGCCCCACTCACGCCTGAACCCCGCCTTTTCAGTCCGTGTCCACACCCCCAAACGGGACTCTGTCTCCCTGGCCACCCACCCCCAGCCCCACCTTCCCCGCTGTGGACTCTGTACCTCTGGCCCGCTACCGGGTGTGCGATTTCTTTTCGGGTTTCCCAAGTCGCCCCGGGTCAGTGGATCCTGCGCGCCAGCCAGCGCCGCGGCGCACCTGCGCACCTGGGCGCCTCCCTGGTCGTTGAGCCGCACGGACTCACAGCTGAGGCGGTCCACTTCTCCTGCGGGGTAAAGGGGCGTTTGGGAAGCCATCGCTCCTGTCTTCCCAGGCCCACCGCCCACCCAAAGGCCGGCCCCGAACCTACAGGCTCCCTGGGAACCCCTGTGGTCTCCCTGGTTTCAGTCCCCTCCCCAACCCCCACTGCAGGCCCTCAGTGCCACCCTTGGGGCTGGCAGCAAAGCCACCTGCTTTGCCACCTCCCTCAGGCCTCCCTTCACTCCTAAGGACTTCCCACTCTGGGCCTAGGATGCCCTTCCTTCCAACATCACATTCTGAGCCTGCCGCAGGAATAACACCTTCTGGGAGGGACCTGCCTGACTGCCCGCTATAGCGCCCCCTCCCCACCACTCGCTCCTGGGCCCTTCCTGTAGCTCCTTTAGACATTTTTGTAGCCCACAGCTGGGTCTGACTGTGGGTGGCAGCCTCACTCCCCACCTCGCCCACCTGGTTCACCAGGTGCTCCATGCATATCAGTGAATTGGACGCCCTGATCTGTTCAGCACTGTTGACCACTTGCAGCCTCCAGGCAACAGCTTGAGGAAGAGGCTGATAAAATTGAGTTCATGTCAGTCAATATCCATGTTTAACAGATCAGCTACCATCCCCCAGTCCTCAACCCAGGGGCAAGCAACTGTGAGGATAGTGGCAAGTGACCCTTTCTCATAGCAGCTCTATTCACAATAGCCAAAAGGTAGAACCAACCCAAGTGTCCATCAATGGATGAATGGAGAAACAGACTGTATAGTGCACTCACAGTGGAATGTTATTCTGCAATAAAAAGGACTAGAATGCGGATGCATCCAGCTACAGCACCGGTGAACCTAGAAAACATTATGCTAAGTGAAAGAAGCCAGACAAAAAGACCACATGTTATGTGACCTTATTTCTGGGTAGTCTCCAGAATAGAAACAGAAAGTAGATTAGTGGTTTCTTGGAGGAATGGGAGTGACTGCTAATGGGTGTGGAATATGGGTATGAAATGTTTTGGAACTGGATGGTGGTAATGTTTGCTTAACTTTGTGAATATTTTTTTAAAACAACCGTACAGCCCTGCCGAAACCGGTTTGGCTCGGTGGATAGAGCGTCGGCCTGCGGACTGAAAGGTGCCAGGTTCGATTCCGGTCAAGGGCATGTACCTGGGTTGCGGGCACATCCCCAGTGGGAGATGTGCAGGAGGCAGCTGATCGATGTTTCTCTCTCATTGATGTTTCTAACTCTCTGTCCCTCTCCCTTCCTCTCTGTAAAAAATCAATAAAATATATATTTTTTAAAAACCCATACAGTTGTACCCTTGAAATGGGTGAGTTGGGTGGTATGTGAATTCTCTCTCAATAAAGCTGTTGTGATTTTAAAAAAAAAAAAAAGAAAGAAAGAAAAAGAAAAAGCCAGGGATCACAGTTTACGGCATTTGCTTCAAGGAGCCCGTGGCCAGGACATGGAGGCGATGGCGAGAGGAATGGTTTGGGGCTGCAGAGAGAGGACAGAGGAGCAGGGCTCGCAGTTTTCCCTGAGCCCATCCACTCACCTCCAGGTTGAGGCCAGAGGGGTAGGAGTGTCTCGGTGCCCCAGGTCCCTTGGGAGGGTGCCCTACCTGTACATGTGCCCGTGGAGATAAGGCTGGCCTGAAAGATGCCAACAAAATATGAAAAAAAAAAAAAAAACAACTAAGTTTCACAGATGCAACAAAAAAATCAAGAAGCCAGTTCGGCTGCGAATAGCTGCTGGCACGTTTTGAAGGAGGGACAGTTCCCGGGGCCAGAGATCCTAGTGGGAGACTGAGTGGGGGTCCTCCAGGAGGTCAGCCAAGAGGGGGTGAGTTGGGGGCATAGGGCAAAGAGCTGGGACCTGTCCTCCAGCTCAGGAGACAGGCTGATCTGAGAGGGCCTCAGTGGACTTGGTCATGTGGCTGTCATCTCCCCCCCCCCCCCCCCATGTTGGACCAGTCAGCGGGGCCAGGAGCTCCTAAGAGGAAGAGACAGACCTTAATGGGACACTTACCGACCCCTTTCTGCCACAGTCATGTGACTACGTCGTGTGTGGTTCTTCCAAACAGTCCTTTCTCTGTTTTCCTCCCGCGTCCCGTCTTGTACTGCTACTCAGTGAAATATTTGTTTTTACTTCGGCCTCAGAGTTCATTTGGATTTATTACATTCTGCCGCTTGCTCTACCCATTTTTAAGTGATATATTTGCTGCAACTACACGCAGAGAAATTCATTCATATTTGTTTAATTTGGGGTCTGTCGTCCTGTTATCGGGCTGCAGCAAACACAGGCTGGTATTGGCTCTCCTGGCACGTTCCCCCTTACCCACTCCTTGTTCACAGATTCCGCTCGAGCTCTATGTGGCTGTGGAATTGTGTTCATTTTTCTCAGAGCCGGTGAAATATGATTGTATTTCCTGACGCCGAGATTGTCTGCTAGATCCCAGAACACACTGTTACGCTTACGTGGATGCGGTCGCGCTTCGCCACGCCGGCCACTTGGGACGGTCACTTACAACGCACATGTGAAGAAAGGCATTTAGATCCCCCCCATTCCTTCCTGGTAAAATCAGGTGACCCTAAATGCTGACGGGTGCGGCAATCACAGTCTCCCCAGAGAGGAGCTATGATTACTGCCCCATTTGACGCAGTAAACTGAGGCCCAGAGAGAAGGAGCAACATCCCTGAGGCCCACAGCAGGGCTTGGGGCAGAGTTGCTGTCCCCAGGTTGCTTCTTCCACCTTTTCCAAGGTTCGCTCAGTGCCGGCACCAGGTGAGCCCTGGCCGGAGGCATCTTGGGAGCCCACAGCCCAGGGAGCCCAACAAGGGCACCGGCCTTGACAGGGGGCCGAGCCAGAGAATCTGAGGCCCCTGGCGACAGAAGAGAAGGAATGACGAGGAGGTTGAGGTGGGATAAACGTGCATCTTTGTGGCCAATGTACTGGCAACTTCTTGTGACGGAGGCGGCTGGCTCAGGGCTCCGGAGCCTTCGGCACGTGCTGCATGACGACCAGAAAAACATGGCAACAGCAGCATCGACCCCAACTCCTGTGGAGAGGGGCCAATAAGTCAGGTCAAGTGAAATGGGGAAGCTGAGACAGCTGAACAAAATGCAGAGCAGTGTACAGCAGGTGCAGAAGGTTCAGCTCCCTAGAAAGGACCTCTAGGCCTCAGTTGTGTTTCAGCTCCAGGCCCCGAAAAGCAGCAAAACCAGGTGGGCCGCACCAAGACCGGCTGTAATGACTCATGATTCTCTGCCCTCACACTGACCCATCAGGGGAGACCGCAGCCCTGGAGGAGCCCAGCTAGAAAACGGATGAATATTCTACTGAAACCCTCCCCCTGAGACCTCCCCTAAGATTCCTGCCTGTGAGAAGGAGATAAAGCCACAGGACAAGGGGCCCAGCTCCTGCTCTTCCTCTAGGGAGCAGCCCCCCGCCCCCCCCACTTCCCTTCCCCTCTCCTTCTCCCACAGGCATGCATCTCCTACCTAAACCCTAAAGCAGTGGTTCTCAACCTTCTGGCCCTTTAAATATACAGTTCCTCATGTTGTGACCCAACCATAAAATTATTTTCGTTGCTACTTCCTAACTGTCATGTTGCTACTGTTATGAATCGTCATGTAAATATCTGATATGCAGGATGGTCTTAGGCGACCCCTGTGAAAGGGTCGTTCGACCGCCAAAGGGGTCGCGACCCACAGGTTGAGAACCGCTGCCCTAAAGGATCCCAGGAGGCGTACAACCAGTCCTTCCTGCTGCCCCAGCAGCTCCAGGAGGGGCAGCGCTTTAGGCTTCCTGCAAGGCCATCTCCTAGGGCTTCCTGGCAGGCATTTCAGTCCTGGTCTCCTGGGGGTTGCTTGGTGACTGGGCAGGGCAGGCCTGGCAGGCTGGGTCTCTCTCTCTCTCTCTCTCTCTCTCTCTCTCTCTCTCGCGTTCTTTAAAAAAAAACCCACAAAAACCTTATTGTTGAAAGTATTATATATGTCCCTAAAATATTATTTAAAAAAAAAAAAAAGCAAACATGTTCTTTATTGATTTTGAGAGAGAGGGGAAGGGCTAGAGAGATAGAAACATCAATCGGCTGCTTCTTACATGCCCCCTACTGGGGATTGAGCCCACAACCTGGGCATGTGCCCTGACAGGGAATCGAATCCGTGACCTCTTGGTTCATTTGTTGACACTCAACCACGGATCCACACCGGTCGGGCCAGGCTGGGTCTCTCCATGGCAAGGCCTCCGGCTGAGGTCTCTTCCTGATAGGAAGGTTCGGGACATCTTTAATGTCGCCACAGGGGTCGATGGGCTGGGAGCACCATGGGGCACCCACACATGGAGAGGCTGAGTGTCTACTGAGGTTTTAGCCACAGGGACACGTATCCCCGACACACAGGAAGGCAGCACCAAGGGAAGCTGCCTGCCCTGAAACTCTATGGAAGAGGTCAGGGGGTTGAATAGCTCGTGTTTTTTGTTTGGTTTTTAAACAACTGAGTTTGTTTATTCTTTTTTTAAAAAAAAAATATTTTATTGATTTTTTACAGAGAGGAAGGGAGAGGGATAGA